CTTCTTGACGACCACGATCGGCGAGCTCCACGCGCTTCGGGATGGTTCGATTACTCCAGCTTGCACTGAAACCGGGTGTGCCCTCGCTGTTTGCAGCGCCAACAGCACTCTTCCCGGTTATATGCGGTCGTTACGGTTGACGTCGCCGCGCTGTATGGTCTCCGGCTCGGTTGTTCCTGCTCGATCCGCTCGAATTCTGCGGCGTCGTCGAATAATTCGTTCAAATCGTGCACGTCCCGGCGTTTGACGTATCTCTTGTACTCTGGCCGCATGTTTGCGTAGATTCGCGACAGTCGTTGCTCGCGCGAGAACCCCCCGGCACGGCGTATGAGCGTCATCATTTCGTCTGCATATGGTGCGAATTTCTCAGTCTCTCGTTGTTTTCGCTCGGCTATCTGTTGTTGGAGATCTTCGCTGTATCGTGGGGGCAGATACCGCCTGCGGATGGCGTTGCAAAAGTCCCCCCACGTCCGCCAGTCTTCGCGATTATTTCGTGCCCATGCGACGGCGTCGCCTCGTAAGAGCTCGGACAGCCCCTTTAGTAATTGATCGCCGGAATATCCGTAGTCCGCGCGGAGGTCGTCTATGCGTTCCAGGAACGCAATTGGGTCGCGACCGTCGAATGGCCGTCCCCATTTCCGCAGCTGTTCTAACATTTGCGTGTTCGCGGGTTCGATTTCGCGCCTTTCGTCGCGGTCTTCGCTCGGTGGTGTGATCTCCATTCGCGGCGGCGTCCGCGTGTTCCGGGCGTCCGGGCCTTGCGCCCCGAATTCTTCCGGGTGCAAGTCGATGTAGTGGCTCGTCCGGTGGCGGATTTCGTCGAGTGTACCGGTCGTGTCGATGCCATACTGGGTGGCTACCGATATCAGGCGCTCTTTTGAGAGCGCGTACAGCCAGGTTTTCATATCGCTCGGTTATTCTTCACGCCGTTAGAGAGAGTAAAAAAAATCGTGTGTCCCGGCCGGTCCTATCTGTTCGAGCGCCAATGTAACGGGTGTACTTCTTATGAGCTCGCGGATTCGCTCGGTCGTGATCAGGGCTCGTAGAAAGTATGTGAGACACACGATGTAAATAAATTTATAAAGAACTGTTAATTTATTAGGCCTCTATCGGTGCGGAATAATAATACAGAATGGCCCCGCGGAGCGGGTGTGCGGCGGATAGTAATGCGTTATTGACGGGGCGCGGTTGTTATGAATTGCGCGATCTGTACAATGAGATTCGCTGTAGTATACGCGACGCGAATATAAACACGCCAGGCAGGCGGCGCGGGGCGCGTGGTCGGTTTGTTGTGACGGCGCGCGTGGTTCACAAAAACGTGTGAATCGGTTTAAATCGTTGAGACGATTTCTTATACGTATGCGGTACTATTAATAGCGCGTATTCCCAGATGTTATGGGATGCGTGCGATATCGAGAAATCTCGAACGGGCAGCGAACTCGCTGTCCCTTGCTCGCACGCGGAGTCCGGATTGACCAACGGTGTTGAGAAAACTCAACGGGGTGGCGAACTCGCCAGCCCACGGTTCGTATGGTCGGATCGGTCGGAAGTTTAGATCGTTTCTCGAGAACTCTCGAGAGAAGCGATCTCGGATTTTAACGGATCGTAAATCGGTTCGGAAGCCGAGAATGCTCGGCGGAGGCTGCGAACTCGTCAATCTCGCGTTCCGTCGTGTTTGCGATTTCTTAGGATCGGATCAGGACGTCTCGAGCGTACAGCTCGAGCGGATTCGGTTTCTGGTACGATTCTGGTAAATCTGGTGCCTGGATCTAAAAAGGCTGCCGTTATATACCCGAGCGATTAACGGTACCCGCGTCGTTCGCCCCCGGGTGGGGATAATGACGTATTGTTTTTCGGCGGGTGTCGCTCGGGCGTTCACGGCAGCGCTCGGCGGTGCTCGGTTTTCCGTGTAACGGCCGTACGGTTGTTTATCGCAACGGTGTATTGAATGTTTAAAAATGGGCGCTCGGCGCCTCTGCCCCTGCCCGGCCGATGTTCGCCGGGCGGCAGACTTCCGGCGGTCTACTGCCGGGTAACAATGCGTCATAATGGGGGGTGCATTGTTACAGTTTTACCATTAAATCAATCAATTATTTTCTGCTTTAACAAAAAAAATTGTTCAATATATCAACGATTCACTGCTAATGATTTTCCTTCGTTCATACATATACTATTTTCACATACATATTAATTGTTTATGCCTTTTAATACTCAAAATAACTGCTATATTTTTCATACCTTTTTGTTAATAACTTTTCAATTAATAATGACCGACGGCTAAAACTTTTTGTATGTTGTTCAGAGTCATGACCTTGATAACATGTCAAGGTCAAGGTCATACGAGGGGGCGGTTCCCTTTTATGCAGGTTTACCGGTATCATATAAAGAATTGCACCTTGTTGGAACCGGTCTTTTCAAACCGCATCTAATCACTTTTCTTAATTCTTCTCGTTTTTCTTGGTGAGTTTAAGCATTTCCACAGATCTTGACATCTATCCATGGCATTTCTATGAGCCGTTTTGATTCTTGGACATTCATTTATCACGTTCGTAATGTCACGTTAGTAGCGATCAAACTTAACGTGTGAGTAGCACATCGAAAATGACGAGATAGCATTGGGTTAGCTGAGATTTCATCATTAGAAATTATAATATTTTTACTGTCTATCCTAAATTCATAATCAAATTCTTCGACATCAACATTTTGTATGGCTGCGTCTGCAACATCCATAACTACTTCATTGTTTTCATTAGATATATTTTCAGTGTCTGCAGAGGTACTTGCATTTGCACTTGCATTTGCTTGAGCTAAATTTTCACCACTTGATTCATTATTTTCTGCAACAATAAAAATATAAATTTGTATGATTACAATGTACATGTGCACATGCATATGTATGTGCGCATGTACATTATGAATGTGGATATTATGTTCACAATATATGATATATGGTGTTATACGATCTATCGTCAAGCGCAGATTCAAAACTTAATCGTTTTTTAAAAATATTTTTAAATTTATAATTCAGTAGATTTAGATTATTTTTAGAATTAAAAAAGTGTTCTATATGTTAGAGGCACTAAAACGATCGAAACACCTAGTTTTACTTATAATGAAAAAAAAGAGATTTAATTTCCTGTATAAATTTGAAGTAAAATTATTATGAAATAAAACTTCTTTTTAAATTTTTAAGAGGATGCCGGAGCGACGGGCGAACTCCGACTGGTTAGCGCCCTCATCTAAACGTAACTAAAAGTATCGGTATGTTACCAACACTTTATAGTTACGTTATCGACAGTATTATATAGAGTAATGAGAGTCAGGGACATATGCATATTTTAAACAGAGCAATAAAATCCAAGCTTTTCGCGTTGTGTTAAATATGTGGAGACAGAAAAAATGTATTTCTACTGCTCTATCTCGTACAAGCAATTTTAGAGCACAGATGTCTGTGTCGCATACATATTTTGAGAGTGGCACCCGTTTGACTACGTTAATATTGACCCCGGTCCCAATTGACCACGTTGAGATTGACCATGTTGCGATTGACCACGTTGATATTGACCATGTTGATATTGACCACGGTCCCGATTGACCATTGTCCGGATTGATCATAGTCCCGATTGACCACGTTGATATTTACCACGGTTCCGATTGACCACGGTACCGATTGACCACGGTTCAGATTGACCACGGACCCGATTGCCCACGTTGATATTGACCACGGTCATTTTTGGGTGGGTGTGGGTGTGTGTGGGTGTGTGTGTGTGTGTGTGCGTGCGTGCGCGCGCGCGCGCGTTCGTGTGTGTCCGGCCAACCAAGGCAAGACCGGGATGGGAACACTGGTGTATGTAAAGGAATAAAAACGCTAATTATTTTATCAAATGTTCAAATTGATGTCCTTCGACAACTTGGCAGTGTCCTAAGCAAATGTAAAACGTATCGATAACGTTAATTAAAAAATTGGGTTTGACTGAATTTGAAACGTTCACTATTTTTTCCCGCAGCTCTTCTAAATTATCGGACCTAGTCTCATAGACCTTTGTTTTCAAGTACCCCCAAAATAATTTTGAGAATTTATGTTTCCTTCAATAAAAAACGGTCCTATAAAACGATTAAACATTATTCCGGCCTGTTCGGGAGTCGACCTCGACGAGATCGTCCGAATCTTGAGAAACGCTCAGAGATGAGCGAGAAGCGGTGTGTAACGCGAATCCGTAGATCCGCTGGAGGATAAGGAGATTTTCAGTAAATACTCGATTGCAGATTGTTTCAAGATTCATTTAATTTTGAATAATAGGAGCGAGCGACGGCACGTATTCCGCGACTCCGACGGATATCTTCAAAATGTCCTGTTAATGACTGCCTTCGACGCGTATCGGAAATCTTGTAGAGTTTCTTGCTATAGGCTCTCGCGAGAACGGATATCTTGCACGCGGACGCCGGATGTTGCTTGGCGCGAGGCAGAGGACATTCGCGGAACGGTTAACGCGCGTCGACTCTCGAACTCCAAACAATTATCAATCACAAACTCAATAAGTATAGAGCGTGTAGTAATACAGACAATGAGGCGTCTTTCGCACTGAGTTCGATGCTCGATCGTATGCTAATGTGTCGGTTGAGAATTTACAACGAGAATGACGAAAGCGCATACGACACGAGCGAAAGTAACAACAGCAGCGCGAATGGTCTATGAGTACCGCGACACGACACGAGCGAGAATAAGAATGCGATCACGCACCTTTTTCTTTGTTATGATCACGCGGTCACGCGCTGATCGGCTGATCGCGACGATGTTTATTCTCGCTCGGGTTTTGATCGCGGCTCTTACCGTTCAGATTTGTCGGTTGAATTTACAGTTTAAATTTATCGATTAAATTCAACGTTTCAATCTTGAACAGTTAAATTTTTATCATTTTATCATTTTATATAGCGCCCGCCTTGGAAAGATAGTTCCGAAATAATTGATACGACAGTAGCATTGAACGATAAGAGCGCACGCCATAATTAACGATATAAAGAAGAATGACTCCCCCTTTTTTTCGATATGATTTAGCACCGTGAATCAGCCGCCCGTCTTGGCGGTATGACGCTCGCCTTTTGACAATTTTGTGCTTAAGTCTAATGAATTACAATAAATGAAACGCAACGCAGCGAAGATGCCTAATTGCTCGTCGCCTCACTATTGATAGGTAAAACGCATAATTTTATGATCGGTCTTTTGAATTCCGAGATGGCCGTCTTGACGGTGACGACCCGTACGAAGCCGTCGGAACCGGGATGACTTTTGCGTCATCTTGAATTAAGACATGCTTCGATTCTAGATAATAAAGTCGAGAATTCTTCGTATGTTAGCATATGATTTCCTAACACGCGGCGCAGATGAGTTTTTACGCTACGGACGCCTGCCTCCCACAACCCGCCGAGATGCGGAGCGGACGGGGGAATGAAATTCCATGTCACGTTATCGGAGGCAGTCAGGTTCAAAAAATTCGGATCTCGTAATGCTGACCGGTACGCGACGGTCAGTTCTCGGTCCGCCCCGACGAATGTTGTCCCGTTGTCCGAATACATAGATTGTGGTAGACCGCGGCGAGAGCAAAATCGAGAGTAAGCATTTAAGAAAGCTTGAGTGGAGTAGTCACTTACTAACTCCAACTGTATTGCTTTTGTCGCAAGGCAGATAAAGAGCGCGATGTATGTTTTACGCAACGTAATCCCTCGTCCAGCGGAGGCCCGAATTTGCACGGGTCCTGCGTAATCGAGGCCGCAATGCAAAAAACATCGGAATGCCGCTGTCACGCGTTGTTCGGGAAGATCTCCCATGATTTGTGTGGGAATTGCGGCGCATATTACGAGCGAGAATTATCCAGAAATCGCGGCGCAGAACATTTAGCGTGAGTTGCGGTCCGGCATGTAACGCTCGTAAATGAATTTGATACACACGGTCAAGGAACGGTCGAAGAGAGAGAAGTGAGCTTCTCGACGAGAGGCTCTGATTTTTTGACAGCGCGTTTATTTCCGTCGGAAATAAGTCGGCTTGAATTTTCTAAAATCCAGAAAGTTCTGGCATTGTTGCAGTCGTATGCAGAAAGCGCAATGTTTTGTGATGCCAGATAATGAGATGACAAAGGCAAAGACGACAATGAGCTTGTGTCACGACAAGAGCGATTACTCCGACAGTTATTTACGAATTTATTGATATACGCGGTGACGCTAATTAACTTTGGCCACGATGAATATCTAGAAGCGAGGTCCCATTTAAAGAGCGATTGAGAGCATTGTAGCGAACTAACCTTTTCTTCGAGAGGCGCTTCCTCAGGAAGGCGCTCAGTGTTACATGGCCATTTATCGGAATCGAAGAGCAGCCATGGAGGTCCATGCCACCATAGCTCGCGATTGATAATTTCATCGCCAAATATTTCGCGCGAAGCGCAATCTGCGGGGTTGTCCTCCGTTGACACATGCCGCCATTCGACGTCTGGAAGACGAGTCTGAATGTCATTCACGCGATTGGCGACAAAAGTCTTCCATCGCGAAGGAGGTTGACTTACCCACGCGAGCACGATCGTGGAATCTGTCCAGCAATGGCACGGAATATCCTTGTAACCGTTCGATCCGCGAACGAACTCGACAAGTCGTGCGAGTAATAATGCTGCGGATAATTCGAGTCGTGGTATGCTCAGAGATTTTAATGGCGCGACCTTTAATTTACCGACGAGCAAAGTTGTCGTTATTTGACCTAATGACGAAATGATTTTGATATAAACACATGCGGCATAGGCATGTGTAGATGCGTCCGCAAATCCGTGGATTTCGGCGTGACTTGTATCCGATCCACGACCGATCCAGCGTATTATTCGTAAATTATTGAGATATGAGAGCCGAGAATAGATTTCTCTCCACTTTACGATGTGTAGCTCGGAAATCGCGTTATCCCAATCGCTTTTAAGTCGCCAGAGTTGTTGCATAAATATTTTAGCGGTAATCGTGACCGGAGTGACCCACCCAAGCGGATCGTAGAATTTTGCGATCGCGGATAAGATCGTACGCTTTGTTTCCGGGGCGTTATCAGCCAGCGACACGCGAAACTCAAAAATATCATTTGCCGGATTCCACCCGATTCCGAGGATTTTGATTTGTTCTTCCTCAGCCAGAGGTTTGTTCGTGGCTAGACCGTGATCTGCGATTTCGATGTCCTCGAGAAGAGAGGGCGAGTTGCTCGCCCATTTTCGTAATACGAATCCGCCGCGCTTTAACATAGAGTTTAATTGATCGCACGCTTGCCGAATTCGAATGGTATCGTCAGCTCCGTAAAGTAAGTCGTCGACATAAATATTATCGCTTAGAATAGAAACTGCGAACTGAAAGTGCTGACCTTCGTCGATGACGAATTGTTTTAATACCCGAAGAGCTAGAAACGGAGCACACGACATTCCAAACGTAACCGTTAGTAATTGATAATCGATGAGCGGCTCCGACAGCGATGACTTCCACAAGATCCGTTGATAATCTATATCACGCGCATCGGTGTGAATCTGGCGATACATTTTCGCGATATCGGATGAATAGACGTATTTGCATCTACGCCATTGTAGGATGACCGACATGAGATTGGTTTGTAATTTCGGCCCGGCGTTTAAATGATCATTTAACGATGTGCCGTTAGAATTAATGGGCACACATTAAGAAAATGTCGAGCTTTGCACACCGGACACAGAGTCTGGGTGCTAGCGGATGCGGTGGCGGAATGTACGCCACCGGAGACTGCAACGGGTTTGGTAGTGTTCTTGGAACTTGCGGTTGTCGCATATTCTTCGAGCGCGCGAGTACGAGATTGAAGAAAACGAAGAAAATCTTCGTACGCCGTCGGAGCGTCGGTATCGCATGCTTTCACGTTCCATGCTTTTCGCGTTACCGGATCTAATTTTTGCACAATAAGGTGAACGAGAATATCGTTTCAGAGTTCCTCCGGCTTTCAATTCAGATTTTTTAACGACGCTATCGCGATATTCACTTTGTCACATAATGTTTGCAACTCGGAAACCGACTCGCGTGTTATCGGTGATAAGTTAAGCAATGTCGAAAGATGTGTGTTTATCGACCGTCGTTTGCTTTCGTACCGAGAGGTCAAAGCTTTCCACGCTATTTCAAAATCAGCTGCCGTTATAGAAATATTCGCGATACATTCTAACGCACGATCTTTCAGACACGATGATAAAAAATGCATACGTATACATCACCTTTTATAATTGGTATTTATCATGGCATGTGCAAACCTAATAACGCTAACGATTTTTTGTTTGACTTTGTTAATGATTTTATTCTTCTTTTTCAAACAGGCATCATTGTTTCTAATAAAAAATATACAGTAACTCTTAATGCAATATTATGTGATGCCCCGGCGAAATCATTTATTACCTACACAAAAGGTCATACAGGATATTTCTCTTGCCCTAAATGTATTCAGGAAGGTGATTTTGTACGTAATAGAGTAGTTTTTCCAGAAATTCACAACATGTTACGTACAAATGACACATTTAAAAATCGTACACATATTGAACATCACACAGGTGATTCTATATTAGAAAAACTCGCGATTGGAATGATATCCCAAATCCCATTAGATTATATGCACCTTGTTTGCTTAGGTGTTGTCAAGCGATTGCTGCAACTATGGGTCAGAGGAAATAGAAATATTAGATTATCTTCAGAGGCTGTAAATTCAATTTCGTGTTATTTAATTGCATTGAAACCCTTTATTCCAGCAGAATTTGCAAGAAAACCTAGAGGTTTAAATGATATTGATAGATGGAAAGCTACAGAATTTCGCCAATTTCTGCTTTATACCGGAATTGTTGTTATGAAATTAGTATTGCCTACAAATTGCTACAATCATTTTCTTTCTCTTAGTGTTGGGATTAGAATATTAACTGATGAAGAACTATGTGTGCCATTCAACGCTTATGCGAATTTGTTGTTATTGTACTTTGTTTCGAATTACGGAAATATTTATGGCGACGAGTATATGTCGCATAACGTTCACAATCTTCTACATCTTTCCAATGATGTACAAAATTTTGGTTCTTTAGATAACTTTAGTTGCTTTAAATTTGAAAATTATATGCAACAGATTAAAAAAAAATTACATCAATCGGGAGCACCTTTAGAAGAGTTTTGTAATCGCACTTTTGAAGAATTACAGCTTCCCATTCAATCATGTAAAATGCAACAATATCCGATTGTTTTTTATAAGAAAAATAACGCCATTTCTCATGTCCAATTCAAAAATTTTAAAATTGCAGCCAATGAAGCTGATAACTGTGCTATACTTTGTGATAAATCTGTAATATTTATCTTGGATATATTTAAAGAAGACTGTGTTTGTTATATTCGTGCAAAACGTTTTTTAAATCCAAAGGCTTTTTTTCATATACCCTGCTCGTCAGAAAGACTTGGAATATTTTTAATATCAAATACTACTACTACAGACATAATTAAAATTTCAATAACGCAAGTAAAAAAGAAGTGTTTCAAAATTAAATGTGTTGATGAAATTGGTTCTTATATTACAATACCATTGCAAGCCACTAATAATTAGATGTTATAACTTTTTGGTTGAATATATTTCATTTCATTTCATTTTTGTATGCGTACGCTTTATATGATTAAATTTATATGCATTATATGCAATAAACGTACGACTCTTTTGTCTTTATATATTGCAAATCAAATACAAATTTTGATGGATTTTTAGTTCATGACTAAAAATATTTCAAAGGTGAGTGTATAGTATTTTACTATAACAAAGATTCATGTTTCATTTTATACAAGTTAAACAAATAATGTGAAAAAAAAGATTTGGAAGATTGTTTAATCTACATTCTGTTTGACAATTTTCTTTTTCGAAGGCCTTTTTTATAAATCTGTAATTTGTAAACACGAAGAATCGATATACAAAAATTTTATATCAAAAGTAGCAAAAGTATTATATGTATCAATGTTAGAACAAATTTGACAAGAAAATTAATCTTACAGCAATTTTAGTTTTGTTTCCATTAAAAATATTATGTTCAATTTCATTTTGTATATGAATGCGATCGTATGCGAGACAATTCGGACCGATTTGAGACGAGTAAGCCTACTGCGTACGCGACACGAGCGAGAATATGCAAAATGCGAATGCGAAAAGTCGATGAATTTCGACCGGCTCGAATCGTTGTCGTAGGCAGACTGAATAATAGGAGATTTTCAGCACCGAATGTTCGAGAATCTAGGTGTTTGCCACACTTTTTCTTTGTTTTGGTCACGCGATCACGCGCCGATCGGCTGATCGCGACGATGTTTATTCTCGCTCGGGTTTTGATTGCAGCTCTTATCGTTCAGATTTGTCGGTTGAATTTACAGTTTAATTTTATCGACTAAATTAAACGTTTCAATCTTGAACAGTTAAATTTTTATCAGATTCTACATATTCTGAAATTCCAACAGCATGGCTTTTTAAAGATAAGGAGGATATTCAGCAATGTTGGTGGCCACCTCGAACGGCAAACAGTGCAACATTAATAATAAACTGTGAAAGTCCCGATTCTACATGGAATAGTTATGAAGTGGATATCGTAAAATATTGTAGTAAGTATTTGCATTAATATATAATCGTCAATTTTATAACATAAAACATAAAGTAACATATTGTTACGTCCAGACTCAATGGAAGGGAGAGTTAGCGGGAGGGCGTAACTTACTTATCTCTAGACAAACGCTAGACGATGCGTGTCCTAGAGTCGAACGAACGATACAGGGCCTTAGACAGGTCAACGACCGGAAGGGTCGCTCTTACTCTGTCCACGGGCCGTTCGGTCGGCGGTCCCCTTTTTAGTAAAGGAACTGAATCTTTATTACCCGGGACGGGACCCTGTGCGATTTCGGATAACGGGAAGAAAGTCGGGTTAATAAATTACTCGATTTTAAAATTTAACTTTACATTTATCAAAAAAATTGGAAATGAATGATTTAAAAAAAAAAGATAATATTTAACGAAGGAACATTTAATTTGATTTTTAAAATCTTATTTATAAAAATACATTTTCTTAAATTCTAATGTGTACTTGTGTTTGTGTGCGTGAATGTAGGTGAAGGAAAATTATATTCTCGCGGATGTTACAATAAATGCGGAGGACATCAACCGAAATTAAAAGGGAAACTAAAATTTAAATTCCGGTTGAAAATTTACAATAAATAGTTCAAATTAAAAATCTCCCTTTTATTATATAGTTAGGCGAGATGAAAGCCACAGAGAGGGACTGAATGAAATTGCGAGTCTCTCTGTGAAATATACGTGTCCCTTGGTGAGGAGAAGGAAGTCACGGGTCGCTCAACGAAATGCAGGTGATCCTTAGTGACGAGTAGGAAGTCACGAGTCGCTCCGCAAAATGCAGATGACCCTCGGTGACGAGTAAGAAATTACGAGTCGCTCCGCAAAATGCAGGTGACCCTCGGTGAGGCGAAGGAAGTCACGGGTCGCTCAGCGAAATGCAGGTGACCCTCGGTGACGAGTAGGAAGTCACGGGTCGCTCAGCGAAATGCAGGTGACCCTTGGTGATGAGTAGGAAGGTGAGAGAAGTGACTTGAAGTAATGTTTTCGCGAAGGGGTTAAATTTCTTATCCAAGAATCATTTCAATAAAGAAGAAAAAAAAGGAAAATAATTAAAAAAGATGGGGAAATTTAATGACTTACTATTAATTGAGAGCGTTGTTAAACTAAACCACCAATGGTTTGCGAGGGCGAAAAGATCTTGGCTCGTGCTGTCAGGTTGGATGGAGATCGCTGTGGTCGCAGGTGTATTATAGGTTCTCAAGTTATATAAATATAACTCTGCACTGCACAACGCGTAGAAAAATGCGAGAATAGACTTATCGGATTTTGTATATTGATACGACAGAGCGATTGAAGCTTGCCGTCTATACAACTTGGAGTCGCGGAAAACGAATACTCGAGCCCGGAGCTGACTACTAGCTAAGTAGTGAGTCGGTTGAAAAACGGAAACGAAGTGAAGTTTCGAGCGAGGATTTCGCATATCCTCGAATCATAGCGTCTCTCCACGTACCCTCTCCATTAGGCAATCAGAATTCTTTTTTAACAAATCAAATCTTTACTATTTACCGCTCTCATGAGTAGGAGGTGCTACCCTTCCAGAAGAAGGTCCAGAAATTGCGCCTATTGGTGTAGGCTTTTGTTTTTAGAAGTTAAGTCCAGCCTATTGGAGAGTCCGTTATGATCGGCTAAGTTGACATTTTTATTATTCCTGTTGAAATTTATCTCAAACAGATAACACAAGAGGGTGGTCTGGCAGGCGAGCACGCGGTGTCAAGTATCGCGAGTTCTGCTTACGGATTTTGGTTTCATCCGTAAACCATTGTCCGTGTCCCTCTCCTTGTTCTTTGTTTTAAAATTACCTTTGTATAAAATTTTCGAATCTTGACGTGGGTTTTAGTCCCGGAATATTTATTGATCCGTCTCATAGCTAAAAAATTGTATCGTTCTAAAAGATTAGTCTCGCTTGCTAGATATCTCCTTGTTTATTGTTTACGTCGTGTGCAGAAAGTTTCCAGAGCGTAATTTTTTATATCAGTGAAAGAGTTCTATGAAAAAAAAAAGAATCGTGGAGTCCACCGGATGTAACAATATAGAAAAAATAAAATCATTTCTTATGTTTTTACCGCTTAGTTAAATAATGAATTACTATCATAATATACAAATATATGTACATGCGAAGTATATGATGTAAAATACAGATTTAATTACCAGTAAATATTAAAACTATTATGCTAGTCAGTGAATAAAAAATCTAAATGTTATTTTTTTTTTTTTACTGCAGCATCTCTTGAATCAGCTCGAAAGAATGCAGCAGATTCTAATTATAGCACAACCGACGAAGAACGACTGGGCCGAGGAAAGAGGCAACGTATTTTGTATAGTCGTTTCAGCAATGAAGAAGAATATGATCATCAATCTTAACCTCGAAAATATATGAAAAGTAAAGTACCGTTGATACATATTTTACTATAATTGCGTCCGTTTTGGACACTTTCGTACTGAAAGCATTATTCTATCTTTATCAGCATATAATGAGCAATAAAGATAGATTGATGCTATCAACATGAAAATGTGCAAAGCGAATGCATATTTCCTTTATATTATAGCATAATTTTCATATAACCATTTTGCATTGTTATTGTTCACGAATCCTTGCAATGTAATATATTTAAACGAAGAAATGTAATATTGGAATAAAAATATTGGATTCTATTTACAGAAAAACAAATTAAAACTGCTGTTCAGGCAACCACCAACACTGTTCAGCAACTACCATCATGTCTTTCAAACTTGGATTTTATTAACAAAGAACAACAAAAGAAGATCTTAAAAATTAATAATGACAACAGACACAATAAAATTATTACTTCACAAAATGGTATTTCTTTATGATAAAAATATATAAAATATGATAATTATTATTGCATGATTATAGTAATATTATACATGGTAATTTATACATTTCTAGAAGAAGAAAATGAATTATTGATAACAACAGATATGGGAGACAAGGAGAATGAATATTTCAATCTGTATAATGTACCCATAATATTACAAGGAATATAAATTACAATATTAAAATCACCATTAATTGTAAAACATTAATTGCAAAACTACAAACTTTAATTTTATAGGGAACGCTCCACCGATTCAAAACTTAGAAGATATCTCTAATATAAAAGGTAAATCATTTTTGCATATTATTTGTATTCAACTCACAAGTTATCATTTTGTGTATATAATTTTTTTGATCATATTGCAGATAGTATACAACAAATGTTGCGTATGCAAGCAGCAGCAAATATTACATTAAAAGATTTACAGCAACGATTATTAAAAATAGAAACGGCCATTAAACACCGCGCGTTGAGTCCTGAAAAAATTAATGATGATGTCATAGCGCTATTTTTATCATTAACAACAATTGAAGTTATAAAAGAGTTTGATGCACTACTGAAAATATCAGCTCAAGCTGTGAGACAATTTGTAAGTACAAAAATTTTAGCATGATTAGCACATTGATAACGATATAGAAATTTTTTATTACTATAATCACTTTAAACACATAATTTAAATACATGTCACATTTATTTACTTATTTTTTCTTCTTTTTCATAGAAAGAGTTTTTATCAAAAACGGGTGGAAATAACGCCAGAGATAATATCCATCGTATCCTGAGGTGATTGGGGAGGATATTTTCAATTCTCCCCGGATGCGATATTGCGCGATTAATTACGAAAAGAGAGTGGACTGTATTTTCACGAAAGGGAACACTCGAAATAACGAAAGCGAAATTGACTCACCGCACGGTGCGTACCTTATAGTCTCGTAGCTCGTTTCTCGTCCCTCTTGTAAGCTCCGAATTCCTTCGTCTTGAGTGAGTCGGAGGAAAAGCAGGCGAGCAAGCAGGACGATAATAGGCCAAGCAAGCAAGACGAAGCATGCACGTCGAAAGATGCATAAGAGGCTTCGTCCCTTGTGGCCTGGAACGGCCGTCCTCAAAACTAGTCTGTGCAGACTAGATAACTGCGTCTCTTCGTGAGGACCACTGGCGAGCGAGTGCCGTGGGTCCTGCAAGCGTTTCGCAAGCCGAGTAAAAACTCGAATTTTCGGCACGAGTATTCATCGATGGATCGATGAAGGCAGCACCGATTAGTGAGTTGATAAGAGATCTGCCGCCCGATCCCGATCCACCGACTTCTCGCGCGATAATCGATAAACATGCAAATTAAACAAAGCAAAGACTAATGATTACAATTACCCAAACCAATATTCTATTACTACTACTAATTGTCAAGTGATTAAGATTACAACTATCAATTAATGTGAGCGCCAAACACTGAAGAAAACTTTAACGAATGAATATTCCATGAAATGTTCTTGGAAAGAACTACGAAATAATTTCAGTCTCAAACTTACATTTTATAAAAATGATTAAAAGTATGTTATAGAGATGTGTTAACCCTACAAATCATATTTTATTATAACGATTTTATTAATTATATTTTCTCTTTTTTCAGGAGAGGTAACGTCGCATTATATCACATGCACGGAAACTGAATTCTAAAATATAGTTGCAGAGTAGTTACGCTTTGCAACACAGAGAAATAAGAGAGAGAAAGAGCGAAAGAAAATATTGACGGAAACAATAGTGAAGAAAACATTGCTGACGAAAACCATGAGGCTGAGGAAATGAACTAAAAATATACCAAAAATTAATAAATAATAATAAAAAATAAAAATATTATAAGAAATAGATAATAAAGTTATAAATATATATAATATTATATATAGCATATGTAAGTATAATATAAGTATAGTATGATAAAAATAAATATATATATCATATATAGTATAAATATATAGTATAATAGTAAATATATACAGGGTGTATCCTAAAAAGTGGGAAGTATTGCAATGGGGGATTCAGGACACAAAAATAAGAGAAAAGGTTCATATAAACATATGTCCGATATGACCTTGTTTGATTGATATTGGATCAAATGAACGATTTCCTGGTAGATGGATAAGCCGTGCTAGTCCTATTGCCTGGCCAGCTCGCTCTCCAGACTTTGAGCATTGTAACCGTAATTATCTTAATTCTGTTGAAAAATAAAACAAGCTATAACTTGGAAACACGGTCATATCGGACATGTTTATATGAATTTTTCTCTTATTTTTGTGTCCTGAATCTCTTATTGCAATACTTCCCACTTTTTAGGATACACCCTGTATATTATTAATATAATAGTAAAGTTATATACTGCGACGACTTTTCCTTCCGTCTCGCGGCTGAACGATAAACGCGGCCGCCGACTCGTTCTCTCCGTCGCGCGGGTGTAAATTGCGCCGACGAATAGGAGCTAATTCGCCGAACGGGAGATGCGGAATAGTCGTTGACAAAAACGGGAAAACGGAGAGAAAGATCCACGCGCCGGGTGGGAACGGGATGTTAGGAGTTCCGCGCGTACCGTGACAAGATCCGAGAGATAATCGCGAGAACCGAACTTGGATACCAGATACGATCTTTCACGTATCAATTCGCGAAACGCACGAAATAAGCGCGAAATAGACGTAAAAGAAATGGTCGAAATTCGCCACGGGCTGACTAGCTCGCCTAACGGTATAGGGGCAGGGCGAGTGTTGTTCGAACGCGATAAGTTATGCAAGAGGCGACCAATACAATAAGGAGCGGCAGACACAACTGAAAATAATAGGCACGATAATTAAACAAAGAAATAACAGATTTATTATAATAGCGGGGGCCGAAGCTCCTTGACAAGAGTAATGATAAAGACCGCGCGGATATTCGGCTGCGATAAAAAAACGCGGCTGCGAGACTGGGAGTTAGACGCGGGGCGCGAAACCCCGGAATGTACGCCGAAGTCGGCTCGATAAATCGGCCGTAACTCTCTCTCGGCGTTAACTACGCCTCGCCACGCGGAGTTGACAAATAATTAGTTACCGGATTTAATTCGGGTGAGAACCTATCCGATTCTCGGTATCCAATTTCTAAAGGCGAACGTATCGCCCGCTATGGTGACTTAAAAACTAACACGCAACTTAGAATTAACAGGCAATTAACGCACCGCGAACATGCTTTGAATCCGAACAAACGTAACACGCAGTACCGAACGCTTAACACACACACACTCTCGCTATTCCGGCGAGAATCATGAGAAAACTTACAAAACGCGCTCACAATTTCGAGACGTAATTCTGTACAACAGATGTAATACCTCGAATTTGCGCAGTTTACACTCTCGCGCAACCCGTACAATAATCGCGAAAGAATTCGCACCAACGTGCACACAAATCCTAGACGCGAAGATTCATAACAAAGTACAAAAAGTGTTTTACGCAACCGATACACACACTCGGACGACCGACATACAACACGAACGAGACTTAAACGCTAAACGTGCGAGAACCAATGCAAATACAATATACGGAATCCGAATCTCTAGAGAGACGACACACGGTTTATCAGAAATGCGAGGTAATGTCTCGATCCGCGGAAACCGATACTTTCGAGGCTCCGGGGCTCAGATCGCTTGACGACGTGGCCGTGACGCGAAAAATCTACATCAAAGAATCGGACTTAGCCCGTACACCAAAGTACGAATTCACGGTAACGACGACAGAACAATATAATCCCGGGCGTGATCGCGCGTGGCTATTTCGCGGAAGATAACCTCACCGGACTCTCGGTTGTTCGCCCGAGGCTGCCACGAGGTGGATCGTCGGCGTCCTCTCATCCGGACCCTTCCGTCGATCGCCGGAATCCTCTCAACTCGCTCACGCAGCAATGCTCTCGAACTTGCTCTCGCCAAAACGGTCCTCTCGCTCACGCTTCTAATTCGCACGCAAGCTCGCGCCAGTCTCTTCCCGGATCGTCGCGATCCAGAATCGATACCTGTGGGCCAGCCGGGACTGCGCACACGGGGTGCGTATTATCGCGACCAATCACGCGTTATTACGCGCTGTGGCCGGCGGGCGGCGCGCTCACGGTCGTATCGGGGGTGCGCGCGCCCCCGGTATCTCCCAGGATAATTCGCTGGGGCCCTTTCCGCGGAGCCGTCGCGAGCTCTAGGGCGAACGGCTTGGCCTGGAGTATCGCTCCAACCCTCGTGGTGGTCTTTTCCTGGTGCCGTGCCCAGCCATCGGGAGCGTTATTGCAGTCCCTCCACGGGGACCGGATCCGCACGGGCCTGAGTCCTTGCGCGAGGATCCTCTCGCTGTCCCGTGTATACGGGTTCTGATCTCGTCGTGACGTAGCTAGTTTGGCCGCTAGATGTTTTGGATTTCCGAATTGCTGGCTCCTTGCCCCTCGAAGGTCGTCCTTGGTTGGCGATCGTATTTTCCGTGATGCTTCAGCGACTTTCCGCTCATTCTTCCGATAAAGCTCCCAAATCAATTATTCATACGAAAAGAAAATAATAAACGAAATTAATATATGGAACAAAATCTCGATTACAAACGCCTCTCTTGAAACAACGGTATGTTCTCGCTATATTTTTCGACTGGCGCGGTCCTTTAGTCCGCGCTTCGCGATCGGGAGGAATTCGGCGGACGCGCGCGAGACGGTATATAATATATGCCCTGAGTGAAGCGAGGGGGGGATTTAAGGCGGGAGGAGGCACGAACCAATCATCCATCTTTTCCGTGGCAGTGGCACTGTCGTGTCTGTGTAGGGCGTTTAGACACTTCCTCAGCCCGACAAATAATTGTTCGAAAACAACATTTGCGGGTCTGAAAAAATATGCGAGGTACGAGTGGCTGAATCGGGAATCGAACGCGAGTCTTTCACTTTCCGGGCAACTGCTCTTACCACTGAGCTATTCAGACCTCGCACCTTACGCTACTCTAGCACAGTACATACGACTCCAGAGCGATGGATGCAGTGCCGATTGTCACGGAGAGACGAAATCCCCAGCACGTCTCCAGAGCGGTCCAAATCATAACGATTGAAAATTGGCGCCCGTAGCCGCTCAGCGATGAGTCTTGACTCACCACCAGTATGAATGGAAGCCTCCTTGAGTAGTCCATCCTAAACCACTACGCCTAAGCAGCCCCCTCTTCTGCTCCCAATTAATAATACGATCTTCCACCGTCACCATGTGGTGGATCTAGTGGACAGATTACCAGCATTTACGCTGGCGCAGATGTACACCGCAGAATGAAGCGAGGGGGGGATATGTCACAGTATATAATATATGTTATTTAATTATATATTTTTATTTATTACGGATGTACATATTTATCGCACTTATACACCATATACGTGAAATAC